ATGAGGGGACTCAGTGGTCAGTGTGTACAGACTCGAGCCAGGTGCACGGGTGAACGTGGCCAAGTGCCGGCCCGTCCTAGCACACGTACAGTGAGTCACTCGCTGACTCGCAGGAGTGAACTGGTCAACCGCCCGATCCTGGAGGTCAGCTCCACTCACCAAGTTCGTAGAGAACGAGGGGAGGTAAAGACCTGACAGCGAGCCGGACGGGACGGCCGGACACGGCAGAACCGTGGAGTAGTGGGCAAGGACCGGACCCCCGGAGGGGTCCGCCAGGGAGACCGGGACTGGCCGACGGAGCGGCGTGAGTGCGGTGCAGTCGCGAAAGAAGGAGCGGGAAGCTCCTGAGTCAAGGGTGAAGGTGTGCGAGACCGCAGTGGGCGCAGTACCAGAGAGAGCAGACTCACCAGCACCTGAAGCCACGGCCTCACCAGTACCTAGAGCAGTAGACGTACTAGCACCGAGAGCAGCAGCCTCACCAGCACCTAGAGCAGGAGACGCACTAGCACCTAGAGCAGCAGCCTCACCAGGGTCAGGCGGTACGCACAGAGAACAGGCACGATCAGCACTAGTAGGCAATGCATACATGGCAGTGAGAATAGCATCATAGTCAAGCGCAAAGATATCTACCCTCTGTCCATGCAGCTCCAGCCAGGTGGGGAGCTCAGCCTCGTCGCCAAACACTGTGCGCCAGTCGTCGCTCAGACGGGCGAAGCAGCGGGACTGTGTGTGACCAAGCGTCCCACAAGGCTGACCAGTCCTAGCACCTGTGCGAATGACGTACGGGCAGCGAACTGTACGCGTAGACCTGCTACACTGAGCGTACCACTCCTGGAGCTGCCGGGGCGTAAGTGTCTCACGTGGACGCCCCTGCAGCTGCAGCTGGCCACTGCCAGACGCTCCCAACTGACCAGCTCCAGGGCGACAGCTACGACGGCTACTGCGACAACCCCAGCTAGTATACCACTCACTAAGCTGCTGGGGCGTCAGAGGCTCGCGTGAACGTCGCTGGAGCTGCATCTGGCCACCTGCCAGTAGCAGTAGCAGCAGCAGTAGCACGGGCAAGGCAGGCGCGGCAGGCAGGCAAGCAAGCAGGCAGGCAGGCAGGCAGGCAGGCAGGCAGGCAGGCAGACAGGCAGGCAGGCAGGCAGGCAAGCAGACAGGCAGGCAGGCCGGCAGGCAGGCAGGCAGGCCGGCAGGCAGGCAGGCAGGCAGGCAGGCAGGCCGGCAGGCAGCCAGGCAGCCAGGCCGGCAGGCAGGCAGGCAGACAGGCAGGCCGTCAGGCAGGCAGGCAGGCGCTCACCAAAGGCTGGGAGAGCAGGCGCTCACCGGGCGAGCAGGGCCGGCGCTCGACGGGCGGCGGCCGAGTAGGCGCACGACAGCGGCGGCGTCGGGGCCGCAAAACCGGCTGCAGAGCAGGGCCGAAGCAGCTGCAGGGCGGGGCCGCTTCAGCGGCAGTAGCAGGGTGGGGCCGCGTCAGCGGCAGGTCGGGGCCGTGGCAGCTGCAGGGCGGGGCCGCATCAGCGGCAGGTCGGGGCCGTGGTAGCTGCAGGGCGGGTCCGCATCAGCGGCAGGTCGTGGCCGAGGCAGAGGGCCGCGCGCGGCTCGGCGCGGGCTGCGCTGACAGCGCGCTGAGCTGCTGCAGGCCGCGCGCGGCCGCGCTAGGCAGTAGCGGGCCGCGCGCGGCTCGGCGCGGGCTGTTGCGGGCCGCGCGAGGCAGTAGCAGGCCGCGCGCGGCTCGGCGCGGGCTGCTGCGGGCCGCGCGCGGGCCTCGCGAGGCCGTAGCAGGCCGCGCGCGGCTCGACGCGGGCTGCGTGGGCTCGGCGCGGGCTGCGCGCGGCAGCTGCGGGCTGCGCGCGGCTGCAGCGGGCTGCGCGCGGCTCGGTGCGGGCTGCGCGCGGCTGCAGCGGGCTGTGCGCGGCTCGGCGCGGGCTGCGTGGGCTCTGTGCGGGCTGCGCGCGGCTGCAGCGGGCTGCGCGCGGCTCGGCGCGGGCTGCGCGGGCTCTGTGCGGGCTGCGCGCGGCTGCAGCGGGCTGCGCGGGCCTTACGGGCCTCTAGGGGCGGCGCGTGGGCCTTACGGGCCTCTAGGGGCAGCGCGCTGGCCTAGGGCAGCAGGAGGCAGCGCTAGGGCTGCTGGACGGCGCACATAGTGCAGCACGTCACAAGGCAAGGCAAGGCAGGCAGGTACGTGGGGTAGCGCGGTAACCGCAGCGGTAGGTGGGCCCGAAAAAAAAAACGGTCCTACGGACCTTAGTGCTCTGATACCATGTCAGAATCTAGCAGCAGGAATGAATGAACTAGCAGCATGCAGGAGTACAAGTAGTAAACCCTAATTGGGCTGTACCCCATATGGGCTACCCCACTACAGCCTAGACAATATGCAGCATATATGTTTGACATACCAAACAACGGTTACGAAGAACAGTTATATGTAGTTTTACATGTTTTATCTATCAATTAATCGTTAACGGAACGTAATGCTCTGCGTATATCGACACTCCTTGCTTTCTGAACCCTAAATTAATCGTGCGCAATCGTGATTGGTTCGGTTGGTGGCACTGAGGTCTGATGTGTCTAGTGTTCCAAACTCATGTCGGTGCTGCGGCGTTCAAAACGAACAACGTCAGATCAGCTGACGAGGCGATCTACCCAGCGCACACAATACGAATCTGCACTTCTATTGGTGCTTGTTCGTGCTGCGCAGCTCGAAATGCTTCCTCTCGTGCTTATGAACCTGACGGTTCAATGACTGCCATTTGGCGCTTCGTGGATTTTCGACAGAGTGGCTCATTATCGAGCCTAACATACGAGCCGTCACACGTAGGCTTGGCAACCCAGCGCTACGCAGGTTTGGCTCCAACAATGTTGGAGCCCCTCGTTTGGGTTCCTTCCTTGCAAAAAGTGTCGAGAGAATTAGGCAAAAGAGAGGAGTGAACTAGCAAGAATGGGGATACAAATAGCAAACCCTAGAAGGGTTGTACTCGCTACAGAGCACCCCACTACAGGCTAGAGCATAATATTCTGACACACCCCCATAGCCAAAGTGGGGTGTAATCAGCAGAGGAAACAAAGCAGTACAAGCTCAGGGTGGATCACGATGTCACCACACATTCTGAGCACAAGCAAGAAGCAATAGTTTAAGGTTCACAATTATGAGCAAAGCTAGAGGCAGTCACAGGGGGCAAGTGAGGAGGAGGAGGGCTGGCGAGAGGAGAGTAGATAGGAGGCGACGACTGAAGCTGCAGACACACGGGCAACAGACGGCTCTGGTGCGACAACGTGGCTACCGGGAATGAGTGCCCCGGAGTACAGGAGTAACAGGCTCCGCGGCTAATATGCGCGGCAGGAGCAACGGACCCACAGGCGACGGCGCAACCGGCTCTCTGAGCTACCGGTGGCTAATCGACCCCCGGAATACAGGCGCTGCGGACGACACGACGGCGGCCTCCGCTCAACCTCCTCCAACTGTCCCACACCCCTCGACACACACCCTCTGCTTCAAACCCTAGCTCCACTCCGACGGTACCCCCCTTAAACCCCAAACCCTAGGCTCCCACACACCACCCCCCTCAGCGGCAGCTGTAGCAGAGGGAGCAGGGGGAGGAACTCACAACCGACACCCCCATAGCCGCCACCCCCACACTCTTCACCCCCAAACCCTAATTCAGGAGAACGGGCTGTAGGAGGGGTGGGGCGCCGGTAGAAGCACGGGGGACAGTGGAGAGGGCAGGAGCAGCGAGGAACGGGCCGCCCACGGGCCTGGTATAGCCGCCCGAACCGCGCGCAGGCGGCCCGAGCCGCGCGCGGGCCTGGCGCTTCCCGTACGGGCTACGCGCGGGCCTGGCGCAGCCCGTACGGGCCGCGCGCAGGCCTGGCGCAGCCCGTACGGGCCGCACGCCGGCTGTACGGGCCGCGCGCAGGCCACGACGGGCGACGGGGGGCGACGCGCGGGTCCCCGTCGCCCGTCGCAACGCCTCCCGGGGGCGACGCGTCGAGTGACGGGGCCGCGGGCGACGGGATCGGGGGGCCGCGGGCGACGGGATCGCGGGGCCGCGGGCGACGGGATCGGGGGGCCGCGGGCGTCCCCCACGGTAGGAAACCGCCGCGCGCCTCGGGGCGCACGGCGGGGAGAAAACCGCCGCACACCTCGGGGCGCACGGCGGGATGAAACGCTAAAAATTTTCGCCGCGCGCGGAGCGCGCGGCAGGAAGAAGACGACGCACGCCCGAGGCGCGCGAGAAGCATAACAGCAGCGGAAGCATTTGGTGGTGGGCCCACCCACAGGATCGACCCAACAGGATCGTCCTGCTCTGATACCATGTCGAGAGAATTAGGCAAAAGAGAGGAGTGAACTAGCAAGAATGGGGATACAAATAGCAAACCCTAGAAGGGTTGTACTCGCTACAGAGCACCCCACTACAGGCTAGAGCATAATATTCTGACAAAAAGTTCCGACATGACCGTACACTCACATGTACACTACCAAATTGTAGTCAAAATGTCGGGAGCGCGTACCGCTCGCGATGGAAGGTGGAGGGTGTGTCTTTTGGGTTGTGGAAAAATTTGAGCGCGATGAAAAAAATTCCCGAGACCAAAGCCCGCGCCGCGGCAATTCTCTCCACGTCCCTTGCTTAGAAAATAGCCGATGCGCGCGGTTCGGCCGTGCTGAATGCCATATTTGGCCTACATTTCCTGGTAAAAGTTTATCTTACTTTATGTAAAAAATGTGTGACCTAATCAGCAAAAATGTTAGGAAAATCCTTTTTTCTTAATCGGGGTTGACTGCTTCATCTACAACCCCAGCATATAATATTTGGGTACGGTACTAATACCTTACTACACTTATATACCACAATAAAGCACACACTGCTACTTTTTCTTAGAGTTTTAGCACAACACCCTTGGTAGAGTAGTATATACGGTAAAAGCAACAGGGCGTTTCGCTGCTAGCAAATAGGATCATGCCTTCTTATTAATATCTCGTAGCAGTACAACATGATCTACATATAAGGGTTCCTGAACGTGTTTAGAAGGTGTGGAATATCATAAGCGAGCATCCGGTCCACCTCTTCCACAAGCTTCACATTGAGGCGCTCAAAGCTCTCAAACGCACAGCCTGCCAGCGCACGCTGAAAGGGCGCCACCGGTGGGAGGTCGCCCTCTGCCAGGCGATGCTCTCGGGCCACCTGGAGGGCGAGAGGAAGGGGGAACAAGGGGAGTGGGGAGAGGGGAGGGAAGGCATGGATTGACAAAGGGAACCACTGAACCAGCATAAGCAGGTCGTTCACTGGCAAGCAGTGCTCCCTGAGGGGTGAAAGCTAGCAAGCAGCAGGTTTTTTCTGAAAGGGGGCAAAAGAGAAAGGTTGGGTGTGAAGTGGATGGGTGGTAGCAACGTCTATTTCCGAAGGAGGGGAGACTAGTGGCTTCCTATCATCCCCCTCACCTTGTCAAACTCCTGTGGCAGGTTCTCATTAAGCCTCTGCTGTGCCTTGGCGCGCAGCAGCTGCACCCCTATCCCTCTGCCACCGCCACCCCATCCCTCATCCCCCCTTCCCCTCATCGCGCCCTCACCTTGTCAAACTCCTGAGGCAGGTTCTCAATGAGGTGCTGCTGTGCCTTGGCGCGACTGAAGAGGGACAGCTTAATCCCCATCCCGCATCCCCCCATTCCCCTCTCCCCCTCTCCCCCTGCGCCATCACCCATCATCCCCCTCACCTTGTCAAACTCCTGAGGCAGGTTCTCAATGAGCCTCTGCTGTGCCTTGGCGCGGCCAAAGAGGGGCAGCTGGGCGCGCAGGTGGGCGATGATGAACGCGTTCACCCGCACTGCCCTCGCGCGCTTCACAAACTCGTTGATCTGCACGCGGGGCCAGAGGGGAGGGACGAGCATGAGGCACGGGGGAGGGGCGAGCGAGATGGTTATGTTTGAGCTGAATCATAAGATGACGAACGCGTTCACCCGCACTGCCCTCGCTCGCTTCACAAACTCGTTGATCTGCCCAACCATGGGCGAGAGGACGGATGGGGGAAGGGGAAAGGGGGAAGGGGGAAAGGCAAGGCCAATGGGAAGAGGGGATATGGGGAAGAGGCAAGGGGTAAGGGGCGAGAGGCAAGGGGAGATGGGGAATGGGCAAGGTTCGAGGGGCGAGGGAAGTGGGGTGCGTTGTTAGTATGTTCTGGATGAGAAGTGGATGCACCACTCCTGCTCCTATCCTCGATGCTATGTTTCACCCGGCGCTCTCCCTCCCCCATATCTCCCCTCATCTCGCCTCCGCCTACATAGCTTAAACCCCAGTCCTCTCATCCCGCCTCCCCATCCTCACCTTGCGGTCACAGCTCTTCCTGGGCAGGTCACCCAGGTCAGACAGCAGGTCGCTCATCTCTCTCTCAAACAGTGCCCGCCCCAACCGCCCCTCCACATCCCCCTCCTCCTCCTCCTCCTCTTCTTCTTCCACGTCCTCCTCATCTTCAGTTTGATCCCTTGGCTGCTCAACCTTCCCCGTTCCCCTCTGCCCAGCCTTCCCCTCGCCACGGCTCATGGGCGCCACGTTCTCCTTGTCCCGGCTGTCCTTTATCTCAGATTTTTTGTTTCCCTCTGCTGCATTTCCGCACTCCTCTTTGCTCTTCTCTCCAACTTCCTCTCCGCTCTCCCCATTTCCCTTCTCAAGACCTGCACCGTTCGCATCCTCTTCTCCCACTGTTGCGCACTCGTTCCTCGTCTCCTTTTCGCTCTCCGCTTCCTTGTTTACAGCCTCTCCCTTCTCCTTGTTCGGCACAACCGCCGTCTCCTTAGTCTCCTTGGTCTCCTCGACAGCTGCTGGCCCGCCTCCGATGGTCGTCTGCTGCGTTGCTGATCGCAGTTGAAGCGCCTGCTTGCGTTGCTTCTGGGCAGGAAGCTTCTTCTTCGCAGGAAGCTTCTTTGCAGGAAGCTTCTTCTTGCCAGGAGCTGTGTCCGAGAAAGATCTGATGAGGGCGAGGATGAGAGGAGGAGGTGAAGAGGAGAGGAGGGTGAAGAGGACAGGAGGGTGAGGGGGTGAGGATGCGGGGGGAAGGGTGAGCAAGGGAGAAGAGTTGGTTGCGAGGTGCACTGAAGTCCACACTACAGAGCTGCCATGCTGATTGTTTGTGTGGCAGCGCAATGGCAATGAATCACACTATGAACTCGCTCCCACCAATCTTGAGCCGCCTCAGAAGCTGCCTCAGCAACCGTGACACAATGGCAAGGCTCCACTCTATAAGCAAACAAGCATGCATGATTGCAGGTGTGTGTTGCATGGCTGCACCATGGCAACGGCACCATGGCAACGGCACCATGGCAACGGCACCATGGCTATGACACCATAACAATGACTCTCAACGCCTACAAGCACACTCTTTACAGTCACTCACTGCATGCAACCACTCACCCAATGTACACGCGCATGACCTCAGGTGTGTTGATGACCTTCCCCAATGACCACATAAGTGCACCATACACTCGCATGAGCTGCGGGGTTGGGGAGGAGGGAGAGAGGAGAGGAGAGGCGAGGAGCACATGAGGTGTGAGGATCACTCTTTTCATGACCAAATGAGTACACCGTACACTGTCATGAGCTACGAGGGCGGGAGAGGAACGAGAGGAGAAGCAAGAATCACAGAAGCGCGCGTTAGCACAAGAGGCATGGGCATGAGGTGCAGCCGTGGTGGGGAGAAGAGGTGGCAGAGGTGCAGGATAGGGCGAGGGCAGCCCCCCTGCTGCGCGTTGACCTGGTCAACGCATCTCACCTGCTGCGTGTCAACCTGGTCAACGCGTCTCACCTGCTGCGTGTTGACCCGGTCAAGGCGTCTCACCTGCTGTGTGTTGACCCGGTCAACGCATCGCACCTGCTGCGTGTTGACCTGGTCAACGCATCGCACCTGCTGCGTGTTGACCTGGTCGGCCTTGTTAAGCACCAGTCGGATCTTATCCGCATTGCCGTGCAGCGATGTGATGACCCGCTTGAACTCGTCGCTCACGTCCAGCTTGTGCGGGTCGAAGAGCAGTAGGATGAGATCGCACTTGCTGGCGAACCACTGTGGGGGAGAGGAGGAAATGGGTGAGGAAAGGGAGTGAGGGTGGGGCAGCCCCATGTTCGCTCACGTCCATCCTGTGCGGGTAGAATGGCAGCAGGATGAGGTCGCAGTTAGAGGCGAACCACTGGGAGAGAGGGGGGGAATGGGCGCGGACGGGGAGGGGGCAACCATTGTTTCTCACGTCCAGCTTGTGCGGGTTGAAGAGGAGAAGGATGAGATAGCACTTGGACCCAACCAAACCTTTTGGCCACGGAAAGTCACCATGCCCTCCGCCTCCATACAAATATCACCATCCTTTTACTCTAAGCTCACACATCCAAACGTTGCTCTCTCTCTCACCTCATCCTCATCCCTCCTCACCCCCGTTCAACCCCCTCACGCCCGTTCAACCCCCTCACGCCCGTTCAACCCCCTCACCCCCCTCACCTCAGTGACACCAGTGAAGTCGTAGCTGCGTTGGGTGCGCTGCTTCTCCCCCGCCAGCACCCCCGGTGTGTCCACCAGGCATATGTGGTCCAGCAGGGGGTGGGGTAGCTGGTGAAGGGGGATAGAGAGAGTGGGTACAAAGGGGAAAACGGGCTCAGGGGGATATGCAGGTGCTGCCAGCACCCCCGGTGTGTCCACCAGACAGATGTGGTCCAGCAGGGGGTGCGGCAGCTGGTGAAAAGGGGGGGTCAGGGGAGGAAGATAACGGGGGGTGAATGAAAGGGAGGGGAATAGTAATGCACTGGTAAGGTACTGCTGCACTCTTTGTATTCTCACGAGGCAGATGTGGGTCCAGCAGGGGGTGCGGCAGCTGGAGGGGAGAGGTGAGGAGAAGTTAGAGCAAGCGATTGTTAATGGCAGAGAGGAAAACAGCAGTGCATTTACTCACTTCTGGTGCTCTACCAGGCATAAGTAATCCAGCAGAGTGTGATAAGTCGAGTTTTGAGTCGACTCAAAACTCGTGTAATCCATCAGAGGGTGCAACAGCTGGGAGCACGAAGAAGAAGGGAGGCGAGAAGGGCTGGCGGTATGCAGTGCGGTGGCAGCAAGACTAGCAAGGAAACTCCTGAGGCATCTCAGAAGATTGTTCTCTTGCGCCCACCACGCCTCACCTGCGCCCACCACGCCTCACCTGCCCACGCCTCACCTGCCCACGCCTCACCTGCCCACGCCTCACCTGCGCGACCTCGAGTTTCTCGAGGAAGGCGGAGCCAAAGCGGGTGAGGCCGGCGAAGGGCATGTGTGCGCTCACTGCCACCGTGTTGCCCGGCATGCTGCGCTCGTCCTGGCCGTTCTGGTGTGCGGGGACAGTGACATTGATTGATCGTTTGAAGCGGATGGGAGTCATCCGCGCGTGGGGAGGGTGCAAATGGCGTGTCATGTGGAGAGGTAAGGAACGTGGAGAGGAGACAAGATAGTAGGATAGGAGTGGAGGAACCAATAGTGTACAGGAGGTGAGATGGGGAGAGAGGAGAACGAGGGGGAGAAGAAAGGAGGGGTGAGGAGGAAAGTTTGGGGGAGGTGGGGAGGTAGGGGAGGAGGCAACGAGGGAACGAGGAGAGGAGGCCTGATGGGGAGGAGGGGAGGGGGGGAGGAGGGGAGGAGGGGAGGAGGGGAGGAGGGGAGGAGGGGAGGAGGGGAGGAGGGAGGAGGGGAGGGGGGGAGGGGGGAGGAGGGGAGGAGGGGAGGAGGGGAGGAGGGGAGGAGGGGAGGAGTGGAGGAGGGGAGGAGGGGAGGAGGGGAGGAGGGGAGGAGGGGAGGAGGGGAGGAGGGGAGGAGGGGAGGAGGGGAGGAGGGGAGGAGGGGAGGAGGGGAGGAGGGGAGGAGAGGAGGAGGGGAGGAGGGGAGGAGGGGAGGAGGGGAGGAGGGGAGGAGGGGAGGAGAGGAGGAGGGGAGGAGGGGAGGAGAGGAGGAGGGGAGGAGGGGAGGAGGGGAGGAGAGGAGGAGGGGAGGAGGGGAGGAGAGGAGAAGAAGAGGAGGACGCACCATAACAACAACAAAGCGGTCGGTGGTGGGCTCTGGTCCGATGTGCGAGCCTGCAGAACAGAGGAGTGGGGAAATGTAAAATGTCACGTCAGTAAAAATGTACGGAAGTTAGAGCAGGAACCTTGGGGTCAAGAAAGATCAAAGGAGGTACGAGGTGGAAGCAAGTGTGGGGATGAGACGAGGTGGAAGCAAGTGTGGGGATGAGACGAGGTGGAAGCAAGTGTGGGGATGAGACGAGGTGCCGCACTGGAGTGGAGCAGGGAGGTATGCTGTAAAGGGAATGCAGACTAGGTGCGGCTTACCAGGGTAGGGGCGGCTGAGCAGATGGCGGATGAAAGTGGTCTTGCCCGTGCTGTACTGCAGTGGGTGACGGATGGCAGGGCGTGGGGGATGGCAGGGAGGTGGGATGGCAGGGAGGTGGGATGGCAGGGAGGTGGGATGGCAGGGAGGGAGGTCATATGAGTGGAATTAAATTGGATGAAATGGGCACGGGACGGGGGCAACATGGGACGCGGGCAGTATGGCACGAGGGCATGTTTGGGAAGATATGCAGAGGCAAAAAACAAAGTACAAACACATGTCCTTGTGAGATCCTACCACATTCGCACTCTCTTATCTCTGTCAACCTGGGCCAGTCTAACGTTCTCACCTGCCCCAGCAGCATGACCATGGGCTTGGCTTCAAAGTCACTCCCCGTCTGAAGGGGCGTGAGGGACACGTGCGGGGAGAGGGCGCAGTGGGGAGAGCGCGGGAAGGGATGGGTCGTGCGAGCACGGGTAAGAAGGACGGTGCAGCCATGTGGGTGGGCGGAAGCATGAGGATCCATGGCATGGCGTAGCGAAGAGAAACGATATGACTGATGAGGGATTGACAGTGGAAATCGGGCATAGAGCATGGCATGGCGCGACATGGCATGGCATGGAAGCATGGCATGGCATGGAAGCATGGCATGGCATGGCATGGCATGGCATGGCATGGCATGGCATGGTATGGCATGGCATGGCATGGCATGGCACGGCATGGCATGGCATGGCACGGCATGGCATGGCATGGTATGGCATGGCATGGTATGGCACAGCAGAATGGCACAGGCAGGGCAGAGGAAGTTGAAGGGCAGGACTGACAAGGGCGGGGGAGTGGAAGTCTTGGAAGTGGTACGCCTCCTCCAGTGGGCGCAGCTTGCTCTCATACAGCCCCCTCAACCCATCCACCACCGATGTTATGGCTCCCTGGGGTAGTGGCTGATGGGGGTTAAATAAGCAGGGAAAAGAGAGCATGGCACATGAGAGCATGGCACATGAGAGCATGGCACATGAGAGCCTAGCCTTAAAGCAACCCCAGCTGTCGCCTTGGAAGGTGCGAAGAGAATGGATGGATGGACGGTTATCAGAATAAGAAGATCAGGGTTGTGCGCATACCTTCTTGGTCTTGGGCTTGAACAGGGACATGAGGGATGCGGCCAGAGAGGGGTCCGGCTCGTCTGTTGTGGTGGGGGGTTGGGAATCAGAGAGGGTGGGGAGAGACGGACCGCCCGTGAGGGTGGATGGGAGAGTGAGAAGAGGGGAAGTGGGGAGAGGAGAGGGTACGGAACAAGATTATCCATGCTGTGAGGCCCATCCATGCTGTGAGGCCCATCCATGCTGTGAGGCCCATCCATGCTGTGAGGCTCATCCATGCTGTGAGGCTCATCCATGCTGTGAGGCCCATCCATGCTGTGAGGACCATCCATGCTGTGAAGACCATCCATGCTGTGAAGACCATCCATGCTGTGAAGACCATCCATGCTGTGAAGAGGGAAGCAAACGACCTCGCGCCTACCGTGCGTGTCGGACTCAATGGAGGCGGTGCAGGCGAGAATGCTCTCGGATGCCAGAGCCTCGTCCAGCCCCCTCAGCGCCGGGAAGCACGGCTGGCAGGCTGGGGGGGGACGGTTGGGGGAAGAGCGCAGTGACGGTGGGGCGGGACAGGGAAGGAATTGAATTGAGGGCGGAGAGAATGGCAGATGGTCGATTGGGATCGGGAGTCCAAAGACTAGGTGAGAGAGTGTTCGGATTACATATCCCATGCTGCAACCATGCTCACCGGGCTCCCCATGCTCACCGGGCTCCCCATGCTCACCGAGCTCCCCATGCTCACCGAGCTCCCTATGTCCCATGCCCCACACACTCCAGCCCAGCTCACCGGGCATGTCCTCTCCGCGCGACAGCAGCTGCTGCTTGGCGATCAGCCGCATCGCCACCACGAACTCCTCCATGCCCAGATAGCCCTGCACACGCGCGCAGAGTGGTACGGAGGGGTGGAGAGGCGAAGGGAGAGGTAAAAGGGAGAGGGAGAAAGAGAGGTAGGGTCGTTCAGTGTGCTGGCAACCAGGCGGGGAAACATATTGTACAGTAGTGCGGCCTTGATCGAGATCTGAATGCGTCTGAAACGTCTGCAGAGCAACAGTGCAACGAGTGCCGGCAAGCCATGAGACGCAAGCAGGTGCTGGGAGTCAGAGGTGGAGGGTAGGGGGGGTCACAGGAGGAGGCGGGGCTAACGAGTGGGGACTGCTCTCTCTCTCTCTGTGCCTTCCTCACGCATGCCCGCTCGTACCTGGCGACGGTCGTCCGCAGCCGCCCAGATCTGCGCACGTGGCAGGCGCGGGGAAGAGTGGTTCGCGGGAGGTGTGGGGAAGAGGTGTGAGGCACTTTGCGATGAAGGAAAGAGGAGGGGGCGACGAGGCAAAGCATAAGGGCTCATTGTCAAAAAAAGAGATGCAAGCGGCTGACTTCGAAACTCGCAAAAGGCATTTCAGGGCATCGCCTGTTAATCTGGACAGTTCTGGCCACCCCATTGCATTTCTATTGCCACACGTTTTGCTTGTTCCTGTTTCAACTCATGCCTGTTTCTGATACTCTGCAGTTTCATCTCGCACCAATTCCACTCGTACGGATTTCATATCGTTTCCGTACCGCTTTGAGCTCGTGCTGCATGAGGCCGGAGCGCTTGAAGAAGGGAACGGCGTCCGGACCCGTGATGCGCCCGTCGCCATCTGCACGGGCGGGGCGGGGCCAGGCGGAGAACAGGAGGGGAGGCAAGCGTGAGACACGGGCGAACTGGTTTTGGAAAACACTCAAACCCCAACGAGCGCTTGAAGAAGGGAACGGCGTCCGGACCCGTGATGCGCCGTCGCCATCTGCACGGCCGGGAAAGAATGGAGGGAACGGAAAGGAATAACAGTAAACGGGACATCATATTGGAGAATGGGGAATTTAGCGCGACTAAAGTATTGGTATGGTTACTGGCGAGGTTCGATTATTTTCCAAAATAAAGAACGCTGGGAGTCCAGCGCTTCCCGAAGAAGCAATGCGGCCTCAGCCAGGGTTCGTTTTCTAGAGTGCGCATGGTAGCGATAAACAGCGAGTGGCGAGGAGGGGCTAGGATGCTCGAGAGAGGGCAAACTGCGAAACCAGGAAACTCGATGACAGTGGAGGTGGCTGATGGGTGGACTCATGATAGCGAGCAGCATGCATCATGAGGCGCCGTCGAGGCCACGATCTAGTCGACTTTAGAAGGCGAATGGGAAGCTTAAGATGGTGTATAGGGGGCAGCTGAGGCGAGTTGAATGGTGGTGGTGAGGCGACAGGTGGGACGCACCTGAGTCGACGAATGCGAACCAGCGACGGTAGACCTGCGAGGAGGCGACGGGAAGGACAGCAAACCAGAAAACGATAAGTACATGAAAGAAAACAAAAAACGAGTTCGCATCTGCCCAACAGTCAAATTTGTTCTGCTCACGCCACAAGAGCGGCGAGCGTTACGTTCGTCACGAAACGCGGCGTTTTCTGTTGTGCAACTCAGATTTTCTTTTCTTCCCAACGACTATTGATGATTCGCAAAGAGCGTTTGGCGTTGAGAGATTCAGTAGCAGTCTCTTCCCAGTGGCACTCACCCGCATTTCCTCCTTGCTGCACATTGCGGGCTGCGTCGCGACGAGAACGTCTCCGCTCGGCATGCTTCGTGGAGCAAATGTTCAGAGTCTTGCGGAGAAAATGTTCCGTGGGGTAAGAAACTATGCGTAGGTCTTTCAAAATCTCACTATGCGTTTCCAGGGATAAGAAAAACTATCAGGCTTCAAGTTCCTTGAACTTAGACGCAACGGTGAGAAACTATCACGAAGATGAGTGGAAGAATGAATGTCCAGCAAACAGCCATGCATTTTAGCATGTGACAGGAGTGTCGAGAGAGGAGCACATGAGAGCAAGAGGCACAGCGCAGAAGCAAGGTGCGCGGGAGGAGTCACGGCTGGTGCACGGCACACATTCGTCTTGAATTCATGAATCACGGTTTTGTGCGTTGTGCTGCGTTCCCAAACGGTATCAACAAGAACCGTATGGTAAACGTGTTCTCCGTTGTCGAATGTTGCTGGACTGCCCGAACCGAATTGGCTAGGCATTGGTTGGAGTATGGGGCAGTCAAACTGAACGCGTTTCTCCGCAGCCCATTGGAGGGAAGCGCATTGGTGTTGGGCGCTTGTTGCGGTCTAACATTGTACGCGTCACAAGCACGGAAACGCGCATTCGCTGACCTCAGAATAACCCTACCTAGGCGGTGCCCGCCGACCTGCAGCACGTGTAGCCTAGTTCTTGTCATGCAGTATGAAGTATCTACGTACTATTATTTCCAGCAGAACAAGGTTGCAGACATATATCCAAATTACTTTCAACGGGCATGAGAATATGGCAGTGCTAAACAAGCCATCTATACCACTTCGTGTCACAGCAACAATGCTGCTGGATCTGACTTCCCATGGTCAATGCTTGAGCACGTGTTTCCTAACACAGGTACCGTATAAAAATACTCCTCACAGCTCCCTCCCACCCTCTTTACATGTTCATCCAAGTTCGCTGTTTCGAACAAAAAAAACAAAGAATCTCCAACTACACGACTTGGTAGCTTTCCACACTCATCTGTGTTCTCCCTGCAAACTTGACTGGTTGGCCACTGCTTGCTTGAGTCACAGATACCACCTGAAATGGCCAAACAATGGAACATAGTAGTTAAGCTATCCGATTGTACTCAAGTGTCAATTGCTTGTACTAAGGTCGTGGGGAGTAGTGATGAGAGTGGTAAGGGGGGGCGTGGGAAGATTTGAAAGTGGGGGGGAACAAGGAACCGCCAAGACAGGGAAGTGGAGGGGTTGAAAAGGACAAGAGCAAACAGAGGGCAGGACAGGGAAAGCAGGCGAAGGTAGAGAAGGAAGGTGCGGGTGGACAGAAGATTAATATCAGAGTAAGAAGGAGAGAGGGAGGGAAGGGAGAGGGGGTTGGGGGCGTGGTGGGGGAGGTAAAGGCAAGGGTGAGGATGAAAGTGATGGAGGATGGTGGAAGAAGGGGTGAGGGGGGGGGGGAGGGGGGGGAAGGGGGTAGGGTGTGGAACGGAAAAGGGGTACGTTGAGAACGAATTGGGAGAAGCATGGGGGCTTGCAGAGGCATTTATGAAGGGAACGGGTGATCAAAGGGGTGGGGTAGCAGAGGGATGGGAAGAGAGAACGAATGAATGACGGACCTTGACGTCGCAGAAGGTCTTGGCGGATGTGAAGCGCACTTCAATGGGGAAGAAGACATCGGGGTTGGTGGCCGGCACCACAAACTCCATTGACCCACTGAAAGGCGTGCGGGCGACAGGAAGGCAGGAGGCGTACAGCAGGTGGGCAGCAGGTGGGAGCGGGTGGGCACCAGGTGGGAAACAGGTGGGAATGAGTAAGCACCAGGTGGGGGAACAGGTGGGAACAGTTGGGAACAGATGGGCACCAGGTGGGGGGATCATTTGGGCAGCAGGTAAGCAGGTGGGCGAACGGGTCGGGAACAGGTGAGAAACAGGTGGGGAACAGGTAAGGAACAAGTGAAAAACCAGTGAGCAATGCAATGGGTAACAAGTGAACAGGGGAGAGACCAAGGGCAGAGGAACCACTGTTCTTTTAAACATATAGAACGTAAGTTTGTGACTGGAGGTATTTCTTCCCTCATCATCTGACCCAGCTGTAAACATAAGTTTCCCTTTGAGCTGGAAGGTGGAGTCAAGGACCAATGGCGGACAGCAACTGGATGGCGAATCTCACTTGCGGTTGGAGTTGTCAATGAGGGTCGATGCACCACTCCAACACGGATCTCCTCGAATCATCTGCATGCACACACACAGCAGAATTGGGCCAACAAGGGAATGACAAACGAGGCAAGGCTTCGCGCCACAGTGCTGCAACCAGGCCCCATGACCAGGAACCGTAAGAGCTATGCACCACATGGGGCTTCGCTCAATGCTAGCTCCTTGACCTTGACTTTCCAGCGTAAATGCTTCCAAAAGTTTGTGTGCTTAACCCACCCTAACAGGAAAAAAAACTACAAGGGAGAGGAAGGAAGGAAGAAAGAAGCATGGCACATACCTGGGCTCGCCATCGTAGTCCTTGAGCGTGGGGCGCCTCACGCAGAGCCGGCAGCGGGATCTCGACCACACGTGGCGCAGGTCGAATGCCTGTGTGGCCTCGTACTCTATGTTCACGTATGTGTCTGCACCTGACACCGATGGCCAGCAGTTGACTGTCGGAGTGGGGGACACGGAAAAATAAGGCAGGGAAGGTAAATAAAAAAGACTAAGCAAGGCCTGCGTGCCTCATACTCTATGTTCACATACGTGTCCGCCCCTGACACTGATGGCCAGCAATTGATTGTTGGAGTAAGAGGGACGGGAATAGGGCCCCAGGAAATGGGACAGGAACAGGAAAAGGAGCCGAAGGACATAGGGCCTCAAGAAAGGCCTATGTGGTATTGTGCTCTATGTTCACGTAAGCGTCTGCACTAGACAACAATGCCCAGCAGTTGACAGGGGCATAAAGGAAAAGGAGGGCCAAGGGAGTGGGAGCTAAGGGGAAATGCGAGGGTTGCACGCCGAGGCATGCGACAGGGTAGGACAGCCTGAGTGGCCTCGTGTTCAACAGTTACGTAAGTGCCCATGGCAGAATTGGTGGCCAGCAGTTGACCTTTTGAAACAGCAACTGGGTACAACAGAGGACTTGCATGACTGCACGGATATGATAGAACCCAGAACGGTTTGCACACACATCCGCCCCCAGACACCAAACAATCAGCGGTTGACTGTGGAATGATTGCAGGGAGGCGGGATGAGGGCCATGACTGGGCGAAGGTAGGACTCTGGGAAAACTATACGTACACAGCCCAGGAAAGACGACCCACACAAAGACTTACAGCTAGCACATACGTTGCAGCAACAAATAAATGCTCATCCTTCAAGCAAGATGCATATAAGAGGCAGACATAAATGAAAGTAACGGAGGAGAGAGAGCAAAACGTACTGCTGATGGGCACAACGGTTTCGTCCTTGGACTGCATGCGCCACTTGAGGATGCCCAGCGGGCTGCCCGTGGGGAAGGGTCGGTTGGGGTCCTTGAGCCCCAGGATGTTCTGACTGCCGTACAGTGCCTTGTCAATGTTCGGATGCGTCTTGATTGAAAGCTCTTGTCATGCCCGCCGTCGATCTGCACCAGAGTTCACAACCACAGTCAGCCAGGAAACGCAGGAAAACAGCAGAGCCCCACAGACCGCGTTCCACAGCTTACACTCGCTCCAAGATTTTGAGTCACACGCACTCCACGCACGTCACACTCCACACACAAGTCATATGCGCTCTGCATACAAGTCACACGCGCTCCACACACAAGTCACGTGTTCCTCACACAAGTCACACGCGCTCCACACACAAGTCACACGCGCTCCACACACAAGTCACACGCGCTCCACACACGTCACAAACTCCCCACACGCGAGCAAATCACTGCCAAACGCAAATCACAATCGCCCCCCCCATGCCTGCAGACAGATGCTGCCACACTCCCTCCCCCCAGCCCCCCGCGGCAGCCAAACGCACCTGGATGCGGATGAAGGCGTCGTCCTCCTTGAGCACGGTGAGCGCCATGGTGCCCTGCACCTCCATGTTCTCCAGCCCGCCCGTCGCGCTTCCACACCACCACCAGCTTCTCCTCCACCCGGATCGTGATCGGATCCGTCGCCGAACGCCGCCTGCGCGCCCGCTGCTCCCGCCACACCCGGCCCCGCGGGTGGACAGGACCTCCTCGACGATGACCTCGCCTCCGCCTTGAGGGACTCGAGGAACTGGTTCGTCTTGGTCGACTTGCCCAGCTTCATGCCCATGCCCTTGGACCGGCGCCGCCAGGCTTCCGCCCGCCCCCCGCCCTGTGGTGACGGAGGAGGGGGTGCGGGGTGTGTGGTTTGAACGCAGGGAAGGGGGGAACGAAGTGTGATTGAACGTTGGGGAGGGATCTGACTGCGGACGGGGGGTGGGGGGTCTGTATTGCGGGAATGGCAGTGGAATGACGTGTCGCCACGTTTGTTGGCCAGAATTCGGATGTCGGTGGTTCGAGCGTGCTCACTATTGCTGATACCAAGCTCGAACATCACCCAGATCGCATGTACCTGGTTGAAGTGCGTTTCGACTATTAGGGTTGAGCTCGCCAAGCTCACAAGCACATATAGTAGAATCGAGTATTGCCTACACACGTATCACGGTCGCATATCGCCTGGGCATGTATCGATATTAAATATAGACAGGCTACATGTGAAGGTCGAGTATTCCCTCGGCAAAAAAAACCCGGAGTCGTGAGTCGCCTTGGAGTTGTGTCAGGTTCGAGTACGCACCAGGTTAGAGTATACGTCTGAAAACGCAAGGTTCAAAAAATTACCTAAGCGTGTACTAGGATCGAGTGCCCGGCCTAAGCACGTACTCGGTTCGACAACTGTCCGAGTGTGGCATCGCATGCACCCAGTACGAGTATCGACTAACCACGTACCAGGTTCGCGAACCGCCTACGCACCTGGTTCTGGACCAGATGAAACGGGAGCTCCAAACCTCCACCGCCTCCCATCCTGCCCATCTCCGGGAAGCCATTGTTTATGGACATCGGACCTCCCCCGCCCGGACCCATGCTCGCCAGCCCGCCCTGAAATCCCCCCACGATCGACTCTCTGTCGCGCCTGCCAACGGCGCAACGGCGAATCGAGAGAGAAAGAGACTAAAACAAAGCGGGAACGCAAAGACCGCCGATCGCAGAAATCAAACGGTGGTAAATCATGACAAGCAGCTCGGTGCAGGAATCGTGTGTAAGAGACAATAAGCAGACGAGATGGCAAGCAAATGAGGTTTGATGATGTACCCGGAGCTTCTCGATCTCCTGTGCCTTCTTCTTCATGAGGTCCTTGGTCTCGTTGATCTTGCTAGCATGTCCGCCTTGTACTGTTCTCCGCCGAGCTCTCCATCTCCGTGTACTGCTTCACCTGCGCTATAGTCACGTTCTCCTTGTGGCCCAGCGAAATGACCTCGTCGAACGCGAATATGAGCTCGAAAGCCATGTGACACACGGATTCCTCGTCCAATCCTGGACAGTACTCAGGTACCTGGAATGTCAGAGAGGTATTAATAAGGGGGACATCTCTTAAGTGCTACCAGCCAGGAGACAGAGATTCACGGATCAGATCAGGTACCGACACCGGAAACTCGGAATTTTATATTCCTTTGGCATGAAGCAGAGAGCTTGGCTAATTAGGGATTGACTTACGAGCTTCGATTACACATATCGCACATTCTCGGTCTCGACGAACGGTGCTGCTTCCCGCTTCCAATGAGTTTAGGGAAAGCTGCAAGCAACCCTTCGATGCGAATCCGAGCCATGTCTACGAATTGTCGAGCCACCAATGCTGCAGCACCAACAAAAATCATGCGTATGAGAAAATGACCCTCGCAAATAACATTCTAGAAAATAGGTTTAGCTGGGCGATTAATAGCTAGCGGATTATAGGACGACAGGTCAATCGCTTGCGGATTTATTAACATGCCTTTTCCCGTCTTGCTGATGATTGCAGCTGACAGGACCACCTGCACGAGAGAAACTAGGTCGTCAGTCTAAAGCGAGTGGAACAAGAAACTGCATGACCGCGTGGATTACGGCGAATCTAACGCACCATCTTGCCAAGACCAGAGATGTGAGCTCAGACGTCGAGAATCAGGATCCAAACCCTTCCTATCCAAATCACACAACTAACGCAACGGAGGCTGGTCAAAATCCTGAATGACGCTTCGCCCTAATTAGTAACACGGAAACCGAAGACAAATCTACGCATTCCGCGATGCTAACACAGGCATTGCTGGATCAAGGATGATCCTTAGTTGTGCAACCGACCCTGGCGAATTAATCAGCAGGGATACTAGAACAGATTACCACACAGCCACTGTATTGACGGTATTCACACCAGAAACACGCAGATCTGCGATGCTCCCTCCGCATTCCCTCCAGCAGGAAAGGCAGGCAAACCGGCAAGAAGAAGCGGGAAGGCTGGCTGTTGCAAGAATCTGGTTTGGCGGATGGAATCAAGGCTCGCGACGCAAAGATAGAGTGGTAACACGAATTCGTTGAACACAAAATTACTGAGATGATGTGCTAGTAAATTCATGTGAACAATCTTTGGAAGTTGAAAGTAATGATGCAGAAAATGCATTCATCTCCTGCTTATAATTACTAACAGTTTTTCGACCTACTAGCATTTCGTGCAACATTCTAAAATGTAGAAAATTTGTCATTTCTGCCAATGATGTCCTTTTTTAATCATGCGAATTCTTGAATATCAGCGATAGTAATTTGACATGAAGCCACAATAATTTTCTCATTGCCCATGTGCATGTGTTTCCTGACAACAGCAAAAACCAAACTACCTACGGCTCCCACCCTTACCCATCTTGCCTTTGCCCCCTCTACCTCCCCCTCTCCCACTAGCACTCGACCTTCCTCCACCTCTTCCCCTCCCTCCACTCCCTCCCCTCCCTCTGCTCCCTCCCCTTCCACCCCTCCCCCCACTTCCACCCCTTCCTCCACCCCCACCTCTCCCTCCACCCGCTCCTCTCCCCCCGCCTCCTAGCAATGGCAGTCTGGCGCATCTTCCTCACCTCATCCACACTCCGCAGCTCATCCCTCACTCGCCCCCCTCCTCTGCCCGACATGCCTGCATCATGGTGCGGCAGGGTGACAGGGAGTGATTGGGTTTGACAGGAGGTGACAGGAGGTGACAGGGGAGTGACAGGGGGGGACAGGGTAAGGAAGGATCGTTGGTTTTGAACATCAATGGGTGGCAAGGAGTGAGAAGAAAAAGACAAAGGTAAATGCTTTCTAAGCTTCAGACATGAATAGGTGACAAGGGGAGACAAGGGCTGAAAAGGGCAGGGGTCCCTGGCTCAGACCGGACCATCTGTGCTTTCAAATCAAACCCCACCGCTCATCCCCATTCCCTCATTAACTCGCACCCATGCCACATCCTACCCATGCCACATCCCACCCATGCCACATCCCACCCATGCCACATACCACCCATGCCACATCCCACCCATGCCACATACCACCCATGCCACATACCACCCATGCCACATACCACCCATGCCACATCCCACCCATGCCACATACCACCCATGCCACATCCCACCCATGCCACATCCCACCCATGCCACACACCACCCATGCCACATCCCACCCATGCCACATCCCACCCATGCCACATCCCACCCATGCCACATACCACCCATGCCACATCCCACCCATGCCACATCCCACCCATGCCACATCCCACCCATGCCACATCCCACCCATGCCACATCCCACCCATGCCACATCCCACCCATGCCACATCCCACCCATGCCACATCCCACCCATGCCACATCCCACCCATGCCACATCCCACCCATGCCACATCCCACCCATGCCACATCCCACCCATGCCACATCCCACCCATGCCACATCCCACCCATGCCACATCCCACCCATGCCACATCCCACCCATGCCACATCCCACCCATGCCACATACCACCCATGCCACATCCCACCCATGCCACATCCCACCCATGCCACATCCCACCCATGCCACATCCCACCCATGCCACATACCACCCATGCCACATCCCACCCATGCCACATCCCACCCATGCCACATCCCACCCATGCCACATCCCACCCATGCCACATCCCACCCATGCCACATACCACCCATGAAACATCCCACCCATGCCACATCCCACCCATGCCACATCCCACCCATGCCACATCCCACCCATGCCACATCCCCCCCCATGCCACATACCACCCATGCCACATCCCACCCATGCCACATCCCACCCATGCCACATCCCACCCATGCCACATCCCACCCATGCCACATCCCACCCATGCCACATCCCACCCATGCCACATCCCACCCATGCCACATACCACCCATGCCACATCCCACCCATGCCACATCCCACCCATGCCACATCCCACCCATGCCACATCCCACCCATGCCACATCCCACCCATGCCACATCCCACCCATGCCACATCCCACCCATGCCACATCCCACCCATGCCACATACCACCCATGCCACATCCCACCCATGCCACATCCCACCCATGCCACATCCCACCCATGCCACATACCACCCATGCCACATCCCACCCATGCCACATCCCACCCATGCCACATCCCACCCATGCCACATCCCACCCATGCCACATCCCACCCATGCCACATCCCACCCATGCCACATCCCACCCATGCCACATACCACCCATGAAACATCCCACCCATGCCACATCCCACCCATGCCACATCCCACCCATGCCACATCCCACCCCATGCCACATCCCACCCATGCCACATACCACCCATGCCACATCCCACCCATGCCACATCCCACCCATGCCACATCCCACCCATGCCACATCCCACCCATGCCACATCCCACCCATGCCACATCCCACCCATGCCACATCCCACCCATGCCACATCCCACCCATGCCACATCCCACCCATGCCACATCCCACCCATGCCACATCCCACCCATGCCACATCCCACCCATGCCACATCCCACCCATGCCACATCCCACCCATGCCACATCCCACCCATGCCACATCCCTCCCATGCCACATCCCACCCATGCCACATCCCACCCCCCCATGCCACATCCCACCCATGCCACATCCCACCCATGCCACATCCCACCCATGCCACATACCACCCATGCCACATCCCACCCATGCCACATCCCACCCATGCCACATCCCACCCATGCCACATCCCACCCATGCCACATACCACCCATGCCACATCCCACCCATGCCACATCCCACCCATGCCACATCCCACCCATGCCACATCCCACCCATGCCACATCCCACCCATGCCACATCCCACCCATGCCACATCCCACCCATGCCACATCCCACCCATGCCACATCCCACCCATGCCACATCCCACCCATGCCACATCCCACCCATGCCACATCCCACCCATGCCACATCCCACCCATGCCACATCCCACCCATGCCACATCCCACCCATGCCACATCCCACCCATGCCACATCCCACCCATGCCACATCCCACCCATGCCACATCCCACCCATGCCACATCCCACCCATGCCACATCCCACCCATGCCACATCCCACCCATGCCACATCCCACCCATGCCACATCCCACCCATGCCACATCCCACCCATGCCACATCCCACCCATGCCACATCCCACCCATGCCACATCCCACCCATGCCACATCCCACCCATGCCACATCCCACCCATGCCACATCCACCCATGCCACATCCCACCCATGCCACATCCCACCCATGCCACATCCCACCCATGCCACATCCCACCCATGCCACATCCCACCCATGCCACATCCCACCCATGCCACATCCCACCCATGCCACATCCCACCCATGCCACATCCCACCCATGCCACATCCCACCCATGCCACATACCACCCATGCCACATCCCACCCATGCCACATCCCACCCATGCCACATCCCACCCATGCCACATCCCACCCATGCCACATCCCACCCATGCCACATCCCACCCATGCCACATCCCACCCATGCCACATCCCACCCATGCCACATCCCACCCATGCCACATCCCACCCATGCCACATCCCACCCATGCCACATCCCACCCATGCCACATCCCACCCATGCCACATCCCACCCATGCCACATCCCACCCATGCCACATCCCACCCATGCCACATCCCACCCATGCCACATCCCACCCATGCCACATCCCACCCATGCCACATCCCACCCATGCCACATCCCACCCATGCCACATCCCACCCATGCCACATCCCACCCATGCCACATCCCACCCATGCCACATCCCACCCATGCCACATCCCACCCATGCCACATCCCACCCATGCCACATCCCACCCATGCCACATCCCACCCATGCCACATCCCACCCATGCCACATACCCACCCATGCCACATCCCACCCATGCCACATCCCACCCATGCCACATCCCACCCATGCCACATCCCACCCATGCCACATCCCACCCATGCCACATCCCACCCATGCCACATCCCACCCATGCCACATCCCACCCATGCCACATCCCACCCATGCCACATCCCACCCATGCCACATCCCACCCATGCCACATCCCACCCATGCCACATCCCACCCATGCCACATCCCACCCATGCCACATCCCACCCATGCCACATCCCACCCATGCCACATCCCACCCATGCCACATCCCACCCATGCCACATCCCACCCATGCCACATCCCACCCATGCCACATCCCACCCATGCCACATCCCACCCATGCCACATCCCACCCATGCCACATCCCACCCATGCCACATCCCACCCATGCCACATCCCACCCATGCCACATCCCACCCATGCCACATCCCACCCATGCCACATCCCACCCATGCCACATCCCACCCATGCCACATCCCACCCATGCCACATCCCACCCATGCCACATACCCACCCATGCCACATCCCACCCATGCCACATCCACCCATGCCACATCCCACCCATGCCACATCCCACCCATGCCACATCCCACCCATGCCACATCCCACCCATGCCACATCCCACCCATGCCACATCCCACCCATGCCACATCCCACCCATGCCACATCCCACCCATGCCACATCCCACCCATGCCACATACCACCCATGCCACATCCCACCCATGCCACATACCACCCATGCCACATCCCACCCATGCCACATCCCACCCATGCCACATCCCACCCATGCCACATCCCACCCATGCCACATCCCACCCATGCCACATCCCACCCATGCCACATCCCACCCATGCCACATCCCACCCATGCCACATCCCACCCATGCCACATCCCACCCATGCCACATCCCACCCATGCCACATCCCACCCATGCCACATCCCACCCATGCCACATCCCACCCATGCCACATCCCACCCATGCCACATCCCACCCATGCCACATCCCACCCATGCCACATCCCACCCATGCCACATACCACCCATGCCACATCCCACCCATGCCACATCCACCCATGCCACATCCCACCCATGCCACATACCACCCATGCCACATCCCACCCATGCCACATCCCACCCATGCCACATCCCACCCATGCCACATACCACCCATGCCACATCCCACCCATGCCACATCCCACCCATGCCACATCCCACCCATGCCACATCCCACCCATGCCACATCCCACCCATGCCACATCCCACCCATGCCACATCCCACCCATGCCACATCCCACCCATGCCACATCCCACCCATGCCACATCCCACCCATGCCACATCCCACCCATGCCACATCCCACCCATGCCACATCCCACCCATGCCACATCCCACCCATGCCACATCCCACCCATGCCACATCCCACCCATGCCACATCCCACCCATGCCACATCCCACCCATGCCACATCCCACCCATGCCACATCCCACCCATGCCACATCCCACCCATGCCACATCCCACCCATGCCACATCCCACCCATGCCACATCCCACCCATGCCACATCCCACCCATGCCACATCCCACCCATGCCACATCCCACCCATGCCACATCCCACCCATGCCACATCCCACCCATGCCACATCCCACCCATGCCACATCCCACCCATGCCACATCCCACCCATGCCACATCCCACCCATGCCACATCCCACCCATGCCACATCCCACCCATGCCACATCCCACCCATGCCACATCCCACCCATGCCACATCCCACCCATGCCACATCCCACCCATGCCACATCCCACCCATGCCACATCCCACCCATGCCACATCCCACCCATGCCACATCCCACCCATGCCACATCCCACCCATGCCACATCCCACCCATGCCACATCCCACCCATGCCACATCCCACCCATGCCACATCCCACCCATGCCACATCCCACCCATGCCACATCCCACCCATGCCACATCCCACCCATGCCACATCCCACCCATGCCACATCCCACCCATGCCACATCCCACCCATGCCACATCCCACCCATGCCACATCCCACCCATGCCACATCCCACCCATGCCACATCCCACCCATGCCACATCCCACCCATGCCACATCCCACCCATGCCACATCCCACCCATGCCACATCCCACCCATGCCACATCCCACCCATGCCACATCCCACCCATGCCACATCCCACCCATGCCACATCCCACCCATGCCACATCCCACCCATGCCACATCCCACCCATGCCACATCCCACCCATGCCACATCCCACCCATGCCACATCCCACCCATGCCACATCCCACCCATGCCACATCCCACCCATGCCACATCCCACCCATGCCACATCCCACCCATGCCACATCCCACCCATGCCACATCCCACCCATGCCACATCCCACCCATGCCACATCCCACCCATGCCACATCCCACCCATGCCACATCCCACCCATGCCACATCCCACCCATGCCACATCCCACCCATGCCACATCCCACCCATGCCACATCCCACCCATGCCACATCCCACCCATGCCACATCCCACCCATGCCACATCCCACCCATGCCACATCCCACCCATGCCACATCCCACCCATGCCACATCCCACCCATGCCACATCCCACCCATGCCACATCCCACCCATGCCACATCCCACCCATGCCACATCCCACCCATGCCACATCCCACCCATGCCACATCCCACCCATGCCACATCCCACCCATGCCACATCCCACCCATGCCACATCCCACCCATGCCACATCCCACCCATGCCACATCCCACCCATGCCACATCCCACCCATGCCACATCCCACCCATGCCACATCCCACCCATGCCACATCCCACCCATGCCACATCCCACCCATGCCACATCCCACCCATGCCACATCCCACCCATGCCACATCCCCCATGCCACATCCCACCCATGCCACATCCCACCCATGCCACATCCCACCCATGCCACATCCTACCAACACCACATCCTACCCATGCCACTCACCTCCTCGACCTCCTCTCCCTCCTTTCCCTCCGCCCCTCCCTCTCGAAAAGCCACCAGCACCGTCAGCATCGTCACCAGCGTCCAATGAGCCACCGCCACGTGGCCCTCTGCCGCCCACGCGCATGTGCGTCTTCTCCTTCCACCGCTTGTAGATGCCCTTGCTGCCCGCACTGACCTTGGCTCCGCTCTCCGTGCGCACCTGCCAGCAGCATCAGCAAGGGCATCGCGGGGGAATTAGAGAGGTACTGCGATACGCAGGGAACCCATTTCGAGGCATGCACTCTCCTTCTACTGAGCGTGTTGACAGCAAGGGCACCCCTGCTGATGCCCTTGGTTTTTGAGAATTCTCAAAAACCATTCTCAAAAACCAGCAAGGGCACCCCTGCTGATGCCCTTGCTGCCCGCACTGGCCTTGGTGCCAGTCTCCGTGCGCACCTGCCAGCAGCATCAAGGCGAACAAGGGTGAATCAGAGACACTGTGAATCAGTCCATCTGGTTTTGAGACAACCACTCGAGTGCAACCAATCGACTTGACAGCCAGGGCACCCTTCCACTTGCACATGCCCAAGCTGCCCGCACTGACCTTGGTGCCAGTCTCCGTGCGCACCTGCCAGCAGCATCAAGGCGAACAAGGGTGAATCAGACACACTGTGAATCAGTCAATCTGCTTCTGAGACAACCTCTCGTGCAACCACTCGTCTTGACAGCCAGGGCACCCTTCCACTTGTACATGCCCAAGCTGCCCGCACTGACCTTGGTGCCAGTCTCCGTGCGCACCTGCCAGCAGCATCAAGGCGAACAAGGGTGAATCAGAGACACTGTGAATCAGTCCATCTGGTTTTGAGACAACCACTCGAGTGCAACCAATCGACTTGACAGCCAGGGCACCCTTCCACTTGTACATGCCCAAGCTGCCCGCACTGACCTTGGTGCCAGTCTCCGTGCGCACCTGCCAGCAACATCAGGGCAACCAGGATGAATCAGAGACACTGTGAATGAGTCAATCTGGTTCTGAGACAACCACTCGCGTGCAACCACTCGCGTGCAACCACTCGCGTGCAACCACTCGCGTGCAACCAATCGCGTGCAACCACTCGCGTGCAACCACTCGCGTGCAACCACTCGCGTGCAACCACTCGCGTGCAACCACTCGCGTGCAACCAATCGTGTTGACAGCCAGGGCACCCTTCCACTTGTACATGCCTTTGCTGCCCGCACTGACCTTGGCGTCACTCTCTGTTCTGTGCGCACCTGGCAGCAGCATCTGGGGAATGGATGCAAGGGGATTGAATGGACAGAGCTGTCATGCTCAAGAGCTCATGAAGACCAAGGACAAGAATTCCAATCGAGCCATGGTTACCTCACAGTGATAAACAGCGCCCTGGGAAAGGGAAGTTAGCATGCATTCACCCTTGCCTCACCAACCCACCTTGCCCCACCAACTCACCTCACCTCACCTCACCTCACCTCACCTCACCTCACCTCACTAGTCGGCACTCACCTTGCCAGATGGGCCCAGCGTCTCCCCGGGATTCAGCTTGATGTACTTCTTGCTCTTCTGCTCACATCATAGCGGTGGAAAGGGGTGGAGAGGGGTGGGAACCGGTGGGAATGGGAAGTGTTAAAGGTGACTGTGCTTCCTGATTATTTAAACCTTGCTCTTGTGCTAGCAAGGGGAGTGGGGATTGGATGTCGCATGAGGGGAGGCATGGAGGAAAAAGGAGGGAGAGGAGGGGGAAGGGGAAGAAGATCCTCAGTTTAACAGTATGAATCACTAAGCAATATGAGATAAACTACACTATTTTATGTATGTTACATAACATCTATATTACACGGTACCTTATCCCAGTGGAACACTGCCTTTCTCTTTTGCGCCCCTTCACCATCATCAGGCGCTAAGTCCAACACCTCTGCCTCGAACCTGCACAGGGGGGACGGAGCGTAGAAAAAAGGGGAAAGAGAAAGGGAGTGGAGGAAAGCGGGGGGGGGGAGGGGAGGGGTCATAAGCCTTCAGCATCATCAGGAGCAAAGTCCAACACCTCTGCCTCGAACCTACCGGGGACGAGGGAGGAGGCACAGAGAAAAAGGGAGGATAAACTTTGCAGAGCCGTGCCTCTTCCCTTTTGAAAAGCGTGCAAGTGTGTTTGAAAAGCGTCCGAAGGTGGTTACATGAGAGGGAATGGTAGCGGCCTGGGAGGGGATGGCAGGGGCGTTCCACGAAGTATGTTTACAGAGCATGCAAAAAGAAAAACTGCTTCGAAATGTCTGCACTAGATGAGGTGAGGTGAGGTGAGGTGAGGTGAGGTGAGGTGAGGTGAGGTGAGGTGAGGTGAGGTGAGGTGAGGTGAGGAGAGGCGGGGAGACATACTTTTGTACTTCAGCTGAAAACTCGTTCTTGGGCTGTCCGTTGACTGAAAGGCCACTCTCCCAATGCTGTACGGAGTAAAGGACAAAACACACACATACAAACACACACAGGAACACGCACTCGCACACACACTCACACACACACCCATCCACCCCCCCACACACACGCACACACACACACACACACCCCCCCCCCACACACACACCCACACACACGCACATATTCACATGCACACACACATGCACACACACACACACACACACACACGCACACACACGCACACACACACACACACACACACAAAAATTTGCAGCATTCATAAGGTGGTTAACATCAAATAAGAAAGGAGAACAGAAGATATCAATCATGCGTGTGTGAGGTTCTTACCCGGTTGGGCGAAATGTTGTTGATAAAGAACTGCTCATCCTTGAAGATTGTGATTTTCTCCCAGAACTTACCCATTATAAACATGTGTATCCAAGCAACTTACCCTGTTGGGCGGGATGTTGTTGATAAAGAACTGCTCATCCTTGAAGCTCGTTGGTTTCTCCCTCTTCGCCCCCCTCCCCTGCCCGCCTCCCCCTCCCCCCTCCCCTCCTTTCCTCTTCCTTTTTCCCCCGCCCACCTCCCCTTTCTATCAAAACCATCACCCGTCTCCACCAATTCATCCTCGTCCTCACCCTCTTCCCCTTCATCCTCTCCCTCGTCTCCCTCCAAAACACCATCAAATTCATCATCCTCCCCCTCCGCGTCCTCCTCATCCTCCTCTCCCTCCTCTCCCTCTTCTCCCTCTTCTCCTTCCTCGCCCTCCTCCACCTCTCCCTCTCCTCCTACCTCCTCATCATCCTCCTCCCCCTCCTCCCCCACCCCATGGCCCCACACCTCCCTGCCCTCCTCCCCGAGCATGCCTCGCCGCTTGCTGATGGCTGTCTGGTGCGCCTCCCTCTTGGCTCGCATCACGTCCAACCCCGCTGCTATGGGGCCCTGGGGCGATGGGGCGGCATGAGGAGAGGAGACGGAGAGAGAAGCAGGAAGAGGGGGAGTGGGAAAGAGAAAAGACTGCTGATGGCTGTGCGCCTCTCTCTTGGCTCGCATCACATCCAACCCCGCTGCTATGGGCCCCTGGGGAGAGAAAACGGCCCTGCAAGTCCGACAACCCAGAAAGACACAAGAGGAGAAAGGAAGGAGGAAGAAAACAAGGTTCTCTATTCTCTCTCCAATCTTGTATCTCTCCTCCGTCCTATCATCTCTCCTCTCTGCACCTCTCTCCTCGTCTCCCTCCTCTCCACTGTCCTCTGCCTTCTCCTTCTTTCTCCTGTCCTCCCCTCTCCGCTCCTGACTCCTCTCTCCTCTCCTAGCGCCATTGACATCTCTTTCCACCGCAACGCACCACTTTCTTCTTTGCTGTGGCTGCTTCTGCCTCGAGCTCTAGGACTGTCTGCTTCGGCCTGCTTGCATGCGTCTCACGCACACACACACGCACACACACACGCACACACACACGCACACGCACACACACACACACACACATACACACACACAGACACACTTACACACACATGCACACACACACATGCACACACACACACACACACACACATTACAAATACGCAGGCCACGCACAGGCATCCAATTGTTGTGAGTGAGGAGAGGCAGAAGGAACAGAGGAGAGAGCCAGAAAACCACTGCACGTGAAGACAATTCAACAAGGCCCTGAAGCCTGTAACTATCTCTGAATTCCATTCCCCCACACCATCGCACTCCTGCGCCCTCGCACCTGAACTTCTTAAGATGCTCAGCAAAAGCAGCAGCAGCCGACTCCAGCCCGCCCACGCGGTCCCTCAGCAGCAGGTGCACGCCCTCCCTGCCTGCCAGCGCCTTGCTCCTCTTCGCACTCTCGTTCGAAGCCGCCGGCCGTGTTCTCAGATACAGCTTCATGGCCTTTCCAGCCACCTTCTGCAGCATCCCCACCGCCATACTAGAGCTCTCCAACTCTCTCAACCGCTCCAAATAACGGTCCAGCTCGGTTTGGATGTATCTGCCGTAGACTGTTTCCCCCCGCTCCTGCGCTTCCCTCGCAGCCAATAGGCTCGCGCCACCTGTCGCCTCGATCTCGTCTTCTAGCGGCGCCGGGCGGATTGGTTTGGAGAGGAAGAGGTGCAGGTCGAGCACGAAGGGCAGCTCTTCTGCCGTGAAAAAAGAATATGCCGTGCCCGAACGGCCCGCGCGCGCTGCCCGGCCTGCCCGATGCACGAAAAGTTTTGGCTTGGGCGGGAAGTCAAAATTTATGACGTTGTCGAGGAGAGGGATGTCGATGCCTCGGGCAGCGACGTCGGTCACAATGAGGAGAGATGTTCTGCCTGCCCGGAACTTAGCAATGTGGATTTTTCGAGCAGTTTGGTCCATGGCACCGTAAACAACCGAAGAAGGTAACCGCTCGGATTGTAACACTTCGTGTAACAGCTCAGCATGATGCTTTGTGGCCACGAATATAATCGTCTGCTTTCCATTGCCCCTCCCAGCAAACCCCCTCCTTCTTCCTGCCCCTTCTCTTGCTTCATCCTCTCTTTCTTCCCCTAATTCCTCCTCATCCTCCCCCTCTTCCCTTACTGTCTTCTCCCCTCCACCTGCTGCTGTCCCCACCTGAATAACCTCCTGAAGCAGATCAATGCAGCAGGGCGGCCATTTTTTCATGCGGTCTGACCGTGAAAAAACAGAGCGCCAGATCCGGGCTGAGCTTTGTCTCTGTATCCAATCGGATCAGCTGCGGCTCCCTCAAACCTGCCCGGGCGAACTCCGCGAGCATCTTGGGCAGCGTGGCCGAAAAAAGCAGCGTCTGGCGCGACTCGGGCATCCCGCGCAAAATCTCCTTCAGCTGGACCGCAAACCCCATCTCAAAAAGCCGGTCAGCCTCGTCAAAAACAACATACTCCACGGATTTCAGGCTCATACCCTCCACCTCAGCAAGATGATGCATCAGCCTGCCAGGTGTCGCGACGAGAATGTCCGGATTGCGGGAGAGTGCCTCAAATTGCCCCTCCATGCTGTCTCCCCCCACCAGCACAGCCGCTCGCAGGTCAGTGAATTTCCCCAACTCCTTGGTGAACTTGAACGTCTGTAGGGCCAGCTCTCTGCAGAGGTTGGTTGGGGAAGGTGATGCAAGAACAGGGAGCACATGCAAGAATGAGATGAAAACTCGAGGAGGAATGCAGGCTGCCACAATCCCAGTGCCTCCGGATGATGTTTCCCCCACCAGCACGGCTGCTCGCAGGTCGGTGAGTTTCCCCAGCTCCTTGGTGAACTTGAACGTCTGTAAGGCCAGCTCTCTGGATGGGTGGTTGGGGAAGGTGGAGAAACAACAGGGGGGACAAGCAGGACAATCAGGGGTCGCGCCATGCTCTCAGCTCAGCGCCTGTCGCTCGGAGGTCCGTGAACTTGCCCAGCTACTTGGAGAACTCGAAGGTCTCTAGAGACAGGCTAGCTATCTGAGTGGTTGGGTGGGTGACTCTGATGTGCGTGGGTGATTGGGACACGTGAGGACCAAGAGCGAGTTGATTTCGAGACCACTCAAAGATTTTTTTTTTTTTTAGTCGACTCAAAAACGAACTCGGTGACTGTGATGTGGGTGGGTGATTGGGACACGTGCGGACCAGGAGCAGGATGGATGCGCAGAAGACAGGCCTGAATAGGTGCCTGATGCGTGAAGAAGGAGAATTCCTTCGCACTTTCAGCTCATCGGTATGCCATCTAGTCTAGCACCCCCTTGCAGACCCTGCCATAAGGGGGTTTGTGAGTCTGCAGAGCTCTGGGTGGTTACCACCTGACCAGGTGAAGAGGGGAAATCAGCAGGGTGAAAGCCGGAACCTAGACTCCTGGAATTCAAGGAAACATACTTCCGTAAGAGCAGTATGACTACCACTTGCGTTGTGCTTAATCAGAAACTTCAGAACATCCTCGTGAGGCAAACCCTGAACCCTTCAACCTTCCACCATTCGCCAACCCCTGAACCCCTAGCCTAAGTTAATTGCTAACCCCTAGACCATGCATCTCAGTACGAGCTGGCGGCGGAAGAAAAGGCTACACCCAGAAACCCTCAGGTTTATAAATCGCTAACGCCTCAACCCTTCACGCAGCGGAGGGTTGAGATGGCATGGTTAACGTCCCCACATACTAGGAGGCAGAAACGCAAACGTTAGCTCCGTGTTTCGAAGATAAACTCAACGTGTATTCGCGCAATTAACCCCCTTACGTAACAGCTCGAAGGTAATCATAATGGCATGCTCTGAGTTTCGTCCACCACCCCCAATCCCTTCCCCCTCACGCACCCCCTCCTGCGCCACCGTCGCACCTCGTAGGCGAGAGAATAACGGCGCGGATCCCGGCCGTGTTCGAGTGCGCCTTGAGCCGTTCGATCATGGGGATGAGAAACGCCGCCGTTTTGCCGGAACCGGTGCGCGCCATGGCAACCACGTCCTGCCCCGCCAGCACCAGCGGCAGCGTTCGCCGCTGGATTGGGGTCGGCACCTGGTAGCCCTTGCGCCGCACCGCGCGATACACGGCGGCACTCAGACCCATGCTCTCAAATCCGAACGATTTCGATTTCTTCTTCTTCGCGCCTTGCCCCGACACAGGAGCGAAGGCCATTCCGACGTCTTCTGACGGAAACATGCTTTCTGTTTCGCCCCCGTCCATCTGTTCTTCCCGCTTCAAGGAACAAACTCGAGCTAGTAGTGGTAATGGAGAGAAATTGGCGCTGGAAAGCGGTTTATTCTCTCTAGTCGAGGAGGAGAGGTTTGACAGTTGGGTTTTGTGGTGTTTCACAAGTGCAGGACAGGACAGTGTGTGTTCCCTTTCCACCACTCCATATCCATAAGCCACTTTCTTTAGTTTAGCTAGTCCAAGGTCAGCCTTTGAATGTAGGAAAACATATTATTACTCAGGCAATATGAAAACCTGCTATCGTGTACGAATAATACAAAGACGATATTTATTGGTGCCCGATTGTCATTTTTGTCTGCCTTATCTCTAAGCCTCTCAGCGAGTTGTGGCTGAAAGCATCGTTCCTAGTAAACGAGTCACATTCTAGCGAATCTGAGATCTTGCAAACCCGCCTCCCATCGTCATCCCTCCATTGCTCTCCATCTCGCCCTTCCTGCTCCCAGTCGCAACAGTCTTGGCAGCAGCAGGTTCAGGATTGAACGCCCGCCAGATGCGGAGAGTCTCATCAGCCGAGAGGGAAGCTATGATGTCACCGTCAGGGGCCTGTCATGGGTGGTAAATGAGGCACGACATTAGCACATATTGTTAAAGGGCCCAATCTGCATATTCGTGAGAGCTCGGCGATCTCTCACCTGCGCGGTTGACACCACACGGTCTTTATGCCCTTTAAGACGGGCCAGCGGTACGAGGGAGGGATACTTCGATACGATCAGCTGGTTCGCGTTCGCTCCGTACCCATGCGCGCTTACGATCTCACGGTCCTTCTTGCTCCAGTGCAAACCCGTGACCTGAAAAGGCACAAGAACGAGTTAGTGTCTGGATCGAGTTTTGAAAGGCAGAATCACAAGCCGGACTGCCATCCGTCTCCAGTATAACCTGCCATGTCAAACCGTGCGATTGCCTACCTGCGACTCTGCGTCAACGCTCTTCTCGCACGCGCCAGTCTGCGTGTTCCAAAACCGGATGGTGCAGTCGTTCGCACCTCCTCCCGTCGCCAGCAGGTGCGTTCGGAACGGACACCACGCGAGGGCCTTAACCGCCCCGCGGTGCTCGGCCAATCGATGAAGCAAAGGCACGTGGGATCCAGTAGCACTAGTAGCAGCAGAGCTGGCGTTCGTCCTCAGGAGATTTGCTCCATCGCGGCGGCCAGCCGCGTCCGGTGCGGTGGACGACGACATGAGAGCTGTGTCCCAGATGTGCACGAGGTTGTCGTCTCCCCCGCTGGCGAGCTGACGTCCAGACGGAGCCCACTTCAGCCCGCACACCCCTTTGCGATGGGCCTTGAGACGTGCGACGATGTGTTCCCGGGCGCGAACTGCTCATGAAAGATAGGACAAACGTTAGGCTGGAGCGCACGCATCAAACAGAGTTTGTTTCAAAGAGGTGAGTGGTTATACCCGTTTAAGGTACGGGAAAGTATGGCTTACCATCATGGTTGATGATTGTTCCAGCATTATCACCGGCTGATAATAGTGTCTTGTACCAGTCCATTGCACAAATAGGTGCCGAATGCCCCTTGAAGGTACGAACCTGCAGTTCATGGCCAAGCAGCACAGTCAGTCAGGATTCGCAGGACACTGACTCAAGGACTTTTCTAGCAGATACTGGCCTGTTGTGGGATGGAGACGTTCCAGACTTGAATTTCGAAACTGCTGATCCCTATGGCCAAGTGTATGCCATCAGGAGCCCAAGAGACTCCTGTCACGTATGGAGATTGTCCATCTTCTGTTTCAACAGACATCAGCTCCATAGATTCTTCGTTCTGAGCATTCCAGATAAACACTGATGTTCCGAGGGCTACAGCGACCAAGTCAGAGATGCTCCAGTCTATCAATTGGAGGTAGAAGTTGTCCACCACTCCAGGCGCTTCCAGAGCCTTCTCTGCCTCCTGAGAAGAAAGAACAGCTTTGAGTCAGTAATGACACGCGTTTAATCTTCTTATCCAGCATGCCTTTGGAGTACTCACGTGAGGTATCACACGAGGAGGGGGGCGACATCCTGAAACCTCACTGCCGTTGGCAGTCTTGACGGAGCTGTCTAAACCATTACTGGACCCAGCAGGTGCCTTCACTTTGAATGATAAAACTCTCGGCTTTGTTGCCGAGTTTCCAGCTCCCTCTTCCAGACATCGCGTCATCAATCCTTCAAGGCGCTTGCGATAATTTTCCTGGTTATTACAACACACATTGAAAATATGTTAGTCCATAGAAGTCGACCATGTCACAAGCCATAACAAGTTCACTTACAGAGCCTGGAGTAACGAGCTTCCTGGAATCATTCTTGTCGAAACCACCTCGGATTGAAAAAGATGAGATGTCCATGTTCATGTGGCTGCGACTTGGAATGAAACGATCACCCTGCAGCAAAAAGTCGGACCAGGTCAGCTGTGTGGAGATTCTAAAGGTGTGTTTTCGGAAAACGTGACTTCGAACCCATTACCTCTGTTGACTTCGGGGTCACGAATGGCGTTGTTGGCGTTATCCCAACCTTCTTATATGCTTTCTTCACGGAAGGTGCTGGCGTTGCTGAAGGCTTGAGTTGGCTGCATCCCGCCTTGACCAAGGATACAGGCGGCTTTTTACCATATTTGCTGCTGGGTCCTGATCTACATAAAGATGCCGGACCTCCCGTCTTTCCGGGGGTCTTCAATTTGCTCTTTAATAGAAATGGACTTCTTGTTGGAGTATCCATGGTCGTGCTCATCGCTGCGGCTAAGTCCATTTCAGTACCGCAGAGAAACTAACGTACACGTGAGCGTTCGCCGTCACAAACAAGCTTCTTGACAGGAAGCGAAGACACCCAAGCACTTTGTGAGTTTTTGCAGCGATACTACCAACTGGAAAAAACGTTGGAGTATGACTGATGCTTGTAGCGAACAGAGTCATCGTTGGAGTCAACCGGCGAGCACCTTCAGCTTCCTCAGCTAGGCTAAGCGGCCGCTCACTGGTTTTCTGAGGTTGCATGGTGTCCAGGCACTGACAATGGCGGCGTAAAGGTATCCTCCCGCCTTCACCAAGAGTTGCTCTGGAAATGCCTTCTCAAAGAGCGCCGCGGAACGTAGGCAGTCAGGGCGTACGCAATATTATATGCTTCGTTTGCAAGATAAAAGACTTTAACTGCTGTGTCGTCCTAATTTCTCAGCTAGTGATGCCGCCAGGTCTTGGTGTCACGAAATTCATTTCAGCCGCAATTACAGTGCGATGTGTCATTCAACGAATGGGGCTTTTCTTTTTCTCAACCGACCAACTGTGCTGACGTGAGCAGCAATTCAAATGGTTGGACCGTTGAAAAACCCTGGCGAACGATAAATACACTCATTTGAGCCAGGATGAGCCTTCAAACAATTTGTAGTTCAAGTAAACGAAACATGTTCTGTACACGCCCTGAGTTCCAAAGAGATGCCTCGCTTTTCTCCTTGATGCGGCAACGACCAATCACACGCAGCAGCGGCTTCCCGCCTCCACACAAGCCCAAGGGAGAACCACTTCCCCACATGCTTCAGAATCCTGTCATGGCCTGAATCCTGAATCCCGATCGTGAAATTCATCTCGTGGGAGAGTCGCATTTCCATCAGAGCTTCGATTATACCAGCATTCCGCAGCTCCTAATTTGGCTTGCACCGTGACTTTCACGACAGAAGCCGCACGCAACTGACGGTATTGCGTCAGGCGTTAGAAGCAGCCCTTAGGTGCACTGCACAAGATTTGATTGTCAATAATTCAGATCGTCTCTATCACACTGAATCCATGGCGGAGGAGAAGGCTGGAACCGGTTTCTACGCAGACATTGTCGACGGAGATGTGTATAAGTACTTCTCGCATGGCGAATGGAGAACGACAGCTTCAGGAAGAACAGTCAACATCATTAATCCCTGTACCCGTACCGTAGTATACAGAGTTCAAGGTGAGCTGCTACTCTGCTAGTTTCTCTACCAAAGATAAACGAATGCAAAAGATCGACGATTCGACTTTAGTAGGTTCTCTACCTTTATTCGACTCCAGACCAGCAATGCCGTTTTGCATTGTCTCGTGGATGGCGATCAACTATGCGTTAAGATCCTAACACCGCGATTCTCGCGTTTTCTCACGCAGCGTGCATGCAAGAGGAGGTGGACGGCGTGTTCGAGAGCGCCAAGGTGGCGCAGAAGAAATGGGCCAAGACTCCGCTGTGGAAGCGCGCCGAGCTGCTTCACAAGGCCGCGCACATCCTTCGCGAACACAAGGACCCCATCGCCGACTGCCTCGTGAACGAAGTCGCCAAGGCCAGAAAGGATTCCATCACCGAGGTAAGACTGAGCTACACTCCACCATTACCGATCCGGTGTGACGTTTGGGTACAGTCCAATGCTGAGTTGAAGGCTCGCGTTTTTTGAGAATGCAACTACTGCATTGCCGAATGCCGCGTGAAAGAGTTCGTCAAGGCGAGAAGGGATCGACACTATGTACGACAATGCAGGGATTCGCTAAGGTATTTGTTATCGTACCTTACCCCCCACCCTGCATTGACTTGGCTATCATACCAGAGCACATTGGTCCTGTCCCTCACCTTACCGCCCACCCTACCGTCAGCATCTGTTTTTTTACTCACAAGCTAGAGTTTGCAAAGTATTGAGCGAGGCAAGTACCATCGCCGTGGACAACTCTTTGCAAATCAACGTCACCCACAGTAACGTCGTGTTAATCAACGTCACTTAAATCAAACCAACGCCATTCCGACCCCAGGTCCTGCGGTCAGCGGATTTCATGTCGTACTGTGCGGAGGAGGGCGTGCGGCTGCTGGCGGAGGGCAAGTTCCTCACGGGCGACAGCTTCCCTGGCAACGACCGCACCAAGCTCTGCATGGCCTCCAAGGTGCGCGCGTGCAGTGCGGTGGAGGTGGGTGCAAGGCGGTCGAGGTGGGTGCTGGGCAGCCAAGGTGGGTGCAAG